TCTAATTTTGATATAGTACAGTATATCAAATTTTTCATTTATGATTGATCATTTTTGTGTCATGTGTAGGAAATGCTTGCCAATCTCAAGGTCATGAAGAATTCTCTTATGTCCTACTAGGTGCTTTATGGTTTTGGGTTTCTCATTTAGGTCTGTGATCCATACATCTTTTTTTTTTTCCATTGAATTAACTTGGCACCTTGCTCAAAAGTCTAATATGTGGGTCTGTTTCCAGACTCTCCTGTTCCATTGATCTATCTTTCTATTTTAATGCCAAATCCATACTATATTAATCAATGTAGCTTTAGAGTAAGCCTTGTAATCATGTTAAATATAGCCTCCAACTTGGTTCTTTTTTTTTTTTCCCCAAAATTATTTAAGCTATTGTATTTTTATTTCTACATAAATTTCACTACCTTCTTTATTTATTTTTAAAAGTCTAATAATCTTAGCCTAATGAAATTTTAACTGGGATGACATTGATTATAAATAAAAATGTTGGCAGAATAGATATCTCAATAATGATGAGTCTTATAATCCAAGAACATGGTGTATCTCTTGATATAGGTCTCATTTAATTTCTCTCAGCCATGTTTTCTATAGTTTTCAGTGGATGTCTTGCACATTTCTTGCTAGACTTATTTTTAGATAGTTCATAAGTTTTGCTATTGTAAACATATGCTAAATTAATTTTTAAACTTTATTTTCCAATGTTTGTGGCTGGTATGTAGACATATATTGGTTTTTAAATATTTACCTTGTGTGTTGGAACTTTGCCAAATTTGTTTACTAGATTTAATAGTTTTTTTTATAGTTTCATAGGGCTTTCTATGTACATAAACATATCATTGATAAATAATGACAGTTTTACTTCTTGTCTTTCATTCTTTTTTGCCCTTTATTTTCTTTTCTTGAGTTATTAAAATAACTAGGACCTCTAGTACAGTGTTGACTAAAAGTAGAGAGATATCTTTCCCTATTCCCAGTCTTAGAGAAGAATAGTGTTTCACTATTAAGTGTGATAATAGTTATTGGTTTTTGTAGATGCCCTTTCTAGAGGAAAATCCCTTCCCTTACTACATACTGAGAGTTTTTTTATCTCAAAGAGGCTTTGAGCTTCTTCAGATCTTTTGAGACATTCATGCGGTTTGCCTCTCTTATTCTGTTACTGTGGTGAATTTTTTTTAAAATTTATTTTTCAAGTGCAGTTAACAAAATATTATATTAGTTTCAGGTGTACAACATAGAGATTACACATTTATTTACCTTACAAAGTGACCACTGGGGTGAATTTTTTAATGCTAAGCCAACTTTGCATTTCTGAAATAAACTTCACTCGGTTATGATGTATTACCTTTTATATGTGTATATATTTTTGCTGGATTCTCTTAGCTGATATTTTGTCAAGGACTTCTGCATTTATGTTCATTCATAAGGGACATTTATCTGTAATTTTCTTATAATACCTTTGCCAGGTTTGGGGAATCAGTGTTAGGCTCCTTAAAAGGAACTGGAAAGTGTTACATTCTCATCTATTTTATGATGGAGTTTATGATAGAAATCAGTGGTATTGCCATCTGGGTCTGGAGTTCTCTTTGAGGAACATTTTAAAAATTATAAATTGATTTCCTTTACATCTTTGCTGCTGTGTAGCTTTTTTGTGACCTTTTTTCTTGTGTCAGTGTTGAAAATTTGTATTTTTCAAGGGATTTCTTCATTTCATCTAAGTCAGCGGCTGGCAAAAATTACAGCTCTCCAGCCAAACCTGGCCCAGGGCCTATGTCTTTGGCTGCTTTCGCACTCCATCAGCTAAGCGAAGCTGTGATAGACGCCATGTAGCCTGCAGAGCCAAACACACTTACTGTCTGGCTCTCTGCAGAAAAAGTTTGCCCACCCCTGATGTAAGTTTTCTAACTGAATCGACATCAGTATCTCGATGTTATCCTTAGCGTATCTGAAGGGCCTGGCCTCATGTCCTCCTTTCATTCCTGGTATCGGGGATTTGGGTTTTCTTTCAATTTTTTATTACTCAGGCTTCCAGGTTTTTATCAATTTTATTTACGCTTTTGAAGAACTAATCTTTGACTTAGTTTTTTTTTCTATTGTCTGTTTTCTGTTTCACTGATTTCTGCTTTATCTCATTTACCTTCCTTTCTTCTACTTACTTTGAGTTTAATTTGCTCCTCTTTCTCAAGTTTCTTAAGGTGGGAGCTTAGCTTATTGATTTGACACCTTTTTTTCTTTTCTAATATAAGCAGTTGAAGGAAACTTTATAACTTAAAGAGTATCTTCCAGAATTCTGCAGAGAAAAGCATGCTTAATGGTGAAGCATTAGAATTATTTCCATTACTGTCAAGAATGAGGCAATTATGCTCCCTGTCTCTGACATTCATTGCTCAATATTGTGCGGTGGTTTTAGCAATATGATTAAAGGAGAGAAGTGGGAACATGAGAAAGGAAGGTAACAAGCGGGGATTCTATAACACATGTCCTGCGAGTGTGGATGAGTATGGAGTCTGGTCTCTTAGGCAGTTTCCTTTTCTCTAGCTGATGGAAATGAAAGCCCGTTGTTTTCCATATTGCTGAAGTTGAAGCGCTGGTGGGTTTCAGGATTAGAGACCGTCGCTGCTATTGTTTTAAAACAAAAAGAACGTTATTTCTGTGTTGTGTCCAGTTGGAAAGGGACTGAGGGTTTTGGTAGCTGACCCTCAAGGTACTCTAGCAGTTTGTTACGTTGTATGTTCACTTTGATTTGCTGAGCGGAGGACTACAGGCTCCGCATTTCTACCGAGGGATTTCATGCAGCTGTTTTCCAGCATGGCTTAGGTGGCCCGAGATGGGCCATGCCTGATGCTGGTGAGGTCACAATGTTCTGCTGCGGCAAGGGAAACGTGCTTCCTGTGTTGTCTTATTTAAACCTATAGTATTTAGGGATGTAGCTCTTTAAAAGCACATACATGGCCCCTTTATACCATCCTGCCGCCGGAACTGGGTCAGGACAAAGTTGAGGGTCAGTCATCACTGCCTATCAGGAACCAGCCCTTCTTTCTGACCTTGAGTCTGTTACTTTCTATGCCTGACACCTTCGTTGATGGTGAGCTCAACGAAGCAAGCTGGTCCTCTGTGGGAACACCATAGTGTATCATGTGTAGATTCTCTTTCTGAGCACCTCCTGCTTGACAGCCAGCTCCTCAGTGGCTCTGGGGATACAGCACTGAACAAGACAGACCCAGACCTGGCCTTCATGGGGATGATGAACCTTGAACATGGCATATGTGAAATGATGATCCCTCGGCTTTTGTTACAATGTAACTATATTTTGTAGGTGGGAGATATTAATAGTAGATGAATGCTTATAAGGCTGCTGTATATTCTGAATGTCTAAATTACGTATTTTTTATTCCTCTGAACCAGCTTTCCGTTGTGTTTGAGTCTGAGTCTCTCTCGAATGCTTCTTGCCCAGGCACAGTTTCTCCGACCTGAAGGTGGTGGGTGGGCTTGGGCTTGTGGAAGCTGATACGGGGGATCTATGTGGTGTGACCTGTAAGAGCTCAGGTTCTGAAATCAGAATGGGTCTGAATTCCCCCTCCCCTGATTGTCAAATGTGGTTACTGTCAGTGACTCAGTTTCCTCATCTGCAAAATTAGGTTGATAATAGATTGCCGTGAAGACGAAATGAGACTATAGGGAGTATGCTTAGTAGGTGCCTGGCACGTTGTGCTTTCTCATTTAATGTAATGGTTGTCATCTCTCTGCCTGCTTTCTCCATTCTTACTATAGTTACATAACCTCCAGTTCAGCTGCACAGCAGTCTCAGGGAAGTCTGCAGTGTTTGGTGTATTCTGGGATGTGATAAGTAGTACCGTTGGGAACATGTTTTTGACAATAGGTTTGAGAGCCTCTGGTAATATGTCATATTCACTTATTACCAACTCTTTCAGGAGCTAACAGTTTGTAATTGTCGTTTGCAGAGCTAAAAGGAAAAGGGAACAGTATTGTTTTACAATATGCTTCCATGGAATAAAACAGCCTGTAGATTTTTGTTTGTTTGTTTTTTGCTAATAAGCCTTGAGTAAGTCTGGACTCCTTTGCGTAAATAAGTATGCTTACCTAAGTATGGCCACCTAAGACAGTATCTTTCAAACCTTTCTGACCACAGTTAATAATATATATGTAAACCTCATCTGATATAAAATATTTACATGTATATATATATATATATATATATATATATATATATATATATAGTGCATTCAAAACTCTGAAACTGAAATAACGTTTCATAAAACAATATATACCCTTACTACTGTAATGCAACATTTTCTGCTCCATTCTATTCCATGTCATTCCATTTCTTTCCATTTTATGAAAAGAGACCAGTAGTTTGAAAAATGTTTATCTAAGAAATTGATGGAACTAAACAAGAATAGGGATGTGAATAAGAAGAATTAAGTGGGATAGTCTTCAGCTCTATATTTTAACTATCTTCTCAGGAATCATCACTTTCTCCTATACAAGTAAACCCCCAAAATCCAAAATAAAATAAAATAAAATAAAACAAAACAAAACAAAAAACAAAAAACCCCAAACAATAAAGCACTTGATATTTACTTCTTCCTACACTTTTACTGAAGTTAGCTCAATTTCACCTTTTAAAATTTGTAGTCATTTCTATTTCACCTGGGTTATAGACTTGATCATCATTAGGGTGGAGAGTCAGTTCAGTGCAGCCAGGAAACCTTGCTTCCACCTCTGGCTTTGTCATCACTCACAGGTTCACCTGTCTTCTCTGAGTCTTAGCTCAAAGTAGGTAATAGTATTTATATTATTTAAATTATTTAATAACATCACTGCCTCCATCTCCTACCCCCAGGGTTGTTGGAGAGCCAGCTGGGATAACACTTGAAATTATTTTGTAAACTAAAGGGCTCTTTTCAAATACCAAGACTATTAGAGTCTGTATTTGTAACGCTTACCTCCTTTTAAAAAATCCCTTCTAGATTTCTCAGTTGAATACACTGATTGCACTTTTGCTGGGAGAACTTCTACCTGGAGACCGGCAGAAGATCATGACAATTTGTACCATTGATGTCCATGCCAGAGACGTGGTGGCAAAACTTATTTCTCAGAAGGCAAGTTTGTAGAGATTTCATGTATTGTTTGTTTTTTCCTAAAGGTGATGTTTATTTAAACAAGACAAACAAAAACTCATAGACACAGACAATAGTTTCGTGGTTACTAGAAGGTAAGAGGGAGAGGGAGTGGTAGAAAAGGGTAAAGGGCATCAAATATATGGTGATGGAAGGAGAACTGAGCCTGGGTGGTGAACACACA